AGCTCTTGATGAAGGTTATGGGAGAATATCGTATTCCGACCTTGAAACTTGAATGGAAACAGATATGGACCTGCTTGCATTCAAACCATCTTGTACTGTGACTGCCAGAACTTCCTGCTGTGACATCATCCTAGCTTGCAGTCCTTGAAAACACTATGGCATACTTCATGTGAGAGAAGTGCTGAGCCCTAAATACCTTCTGATACATCCTGCTTCTCTCCACTTTCCCTGCTGTCCATCTTTGTAGGATAAACTTCTCTTCCTGTCTTTACGCAAAGTGCAGTCCTGCTGTCCCCAAGCTAGTCACACTTCAGTTGCAGAGGTTTTAGAGTGTTTTGAGGTACTGTAACCCCAGTGCAAGTTGTGATTCCTGTGCCCTGTGGATGGCAGGTAGATCTGGTACTTTAGAAGTGTGGAGCCTGTTCATTTGTCTTTAGCTGGAGCAGAGAGAGGGTTTAGCTGTCAGTGTGGAGTGGGGGATGGAAGTCATGCTGGATTTTAATCTGCTGTGTGAAAGCAATTCTAATTTGAATTGTTGTTTTGTGTTGAAGTGTCTGAGTGATGGGCAAATATCACTGCACGGGTGTTATGGGATAACTTTAGGCAGAGGAGATGAGCATCACTGTATCGGGGAAAAACAGAAGCTTCTACTCTGACTTGTCCTTCACAGCAGCTTTTCTCCTGTAACCACAGGAGAGGTCTAGGAAGCCTTGAGTCCCATGCCCTAACAAGGTGGAGTGTGGGGTATCATGCATTCAGTGACCTGTTGCATGGCCTCTTGCCAGTGTCTTCCAGAAAAGAACATTAGGACTGGTGAACTGCCAGCTCTTAGTGGTGCGTATCTTTCTCTCTGGCTCCTTGAAAATTCAGGATATGATTTCAGGATGGTATAAATCAACTGGTCACTTGATATAATGGCAAAGTAAATCGGTAACAGGTGCCTGGGGATAACTCATGCATACTGCTTCTAGCTTTCCTCCTTCTCTGAAAGCCCTTCCCCTGCATGGTAGAGACATAACTTCAAGCAAGGAAATATCAAAGGGATCCCTTACAAAAAGAAGCTTTCAGCTTGTCTTGCCAAGACTGAATGTTGCTGAAGCGGTTTATAACTGCGTGTTCCCTAAAGAGCTTTGTCTTAATGGAGCTGACTGTCCATACTCCTCCTGGCTTTTTCTTCTACTTGAACATTAAAGCTTTTCTTGCTGTTGTTTTTAACCTGAGAGCAACTTGGTCATTCTCCCGGAGATTAAGTTGACTTTTTTTTTTCCCCTCCTCACTCAAAATTGTCAGAAGGGAAATATCTCTTTCTTGCTGTTTTGTGTATTTCTGGTAAGTGATGGCTGCTTTGTGACAAAGCAGCTGGACTCTTATGTGACAAACTGAGATGTCTACCTGACTGGTACCTCCTTTCTCATTTTCACCACTTGTAAACGTTCTGCATGGGGAAGGTGGGTAATAATATCTTCCTCCCCTACTGGCCTTTGTCTCCAATTAGCTACCACTCAAAGACAAATCTTTCACTACAGTGCTGATCAGAGGATATGGGAAGGGATATGTGACTGATGGTTTTAGTATCTCAGCCCATCCAAGGGTGCATGAGCTCTTGCTGCTCCCCAGTAGAGGAATCCCTGGCATGTAAGAATGGAGGTGGGCTCCTGGGGAAGAGGTTTTGAAGAGGTCACAGCTTGCTGCTTTGCTTCCCTCCTTTTAGGAGGAAATAGGAAATGGGTTCATGTTCCCACTCCCTAACAAAGGCAACTGAGCAGTGAAAATTGCCTCCTGGGACATGTCAGCAGCAAAACAGCAGAGGGTACTGCAGGGCCAGCTTGCTTTGGCAGAGCTGGAGGAGGGCTGTGCACGCCAGCCCAGCTCTTCCAGGCGCAGACTGCAATAACAGGGACGCAACGCAGCCGTGCACAGACTGAGTTTTGCCAGTGGGTAAAGAGCTGCTGAGCCTGACAGATACTGATGTATGCAAATATCAAGTGAGAAGAATATGCTTTACTTCCTAAAACTGTGTCCTGCTATGTTGACATGGCACACCACATCCCAGAAAGTGAAGCAGTTTGTTGAATGTCAACAGTTACAGCCTTTTGTCTGGGAGTTTACCGTGGCACAAGGATCATCACAGCCATCTGGGAAGACGATGGACGTATGCCTTGTGTGGCTCCTTCAGCACCTGCCCTCTGTCCTGAACTGGCCCAGAGGAAGCTGGCTGCCCTACATTTCTGTGTCCTGTAGGAACTGGAGTGAAAACCAGCACTACCTAGCAGCTATTGGGATTGCCTTATTGGAGCGGGTCAGCTGTTCATCTCACCCAGGTTTCAGCATTGGAGAGAGCAACCTGATGTCTGGAGGTAATGCCTCGGAGAAAATGCAGGACACCTGATTGAAGAAAGCTGTACTAATTTACCAGTGAGGGACACTTTCTCCTGACAGCCACTCACTGCTAATTTAGTGGTTTCAGCTTCCTTGTGCCCTTCTCTTCCCCACACTTCAAGACAAAGCAAAAACTGGTGACATGCAAGGAAGAGGCACTGGATACTCCTCTACCTTGCAAGTGATATCACTGTTCCAGCAAGGTATTAATGGGGCCTTAAGAAAAAAAGAAAAATAAATACCCTGGACACAATGAGATACTTGTTGGGGGTTTCTGCAGACCCTTGTTTTGCCCCCATGAAGAAAGCTTGACGGCAAGCCCCAACATTGTCCTTCATGGCTCTGAACAAGAGAACATCCAGCCCCTTCATGGCTGGGTCACCACAAAGATGGCCTTCCACAGGCTGGGCCATGAGGTCAGGCCGTGGAGCCATGGCAGGTAGGTGCAGGAGGTGAGGGCCTGCCCTGGCATGGCCCCCTGAGGAGAGCTGCCGTTTTTTCCTTCCCAGCCTGCCTGACAAGATGACCTCCTGGGGGTGCACAAAGCCAGAACCCTGACCCTTTGTTGCTCTGTGTCATGTCCAAGTATGTCAAAAACTGTAATAAACATTAACAAATAGGATCAAGCTATCTCTCTTTCTTGCGCTTTTTTTAAAAAATTTTTTCCCCTCCCATGGCAGTGCTGAAACCTTTCTGCCAGCTTCAGCAGTCTCCCCGTTCAGAGCTTGACATGGGGCTCCTCACTCTGCCATGCAAGCATGGGGGATGGCATCAGTGGACGGTGCTTCTCACTAAAAATGTGACCATGAAATGTCCAGAAAAACTTGTTGCTGAGCTGTAATGTATAACTGCAGACAATCCTGTGCTGTAAGGTATAACTGCAGACAACCCCTCTACCAAAGTCCATATCGGAGCCACCTGTAGAGAGGCAGATATGTTTTCCTTTGGGCAGTTGCCATCTGTCTAAATGCTTTATAGCTTTTCACTTTAGTATTAAATTTTCTCCAAGTTAATCAGTAAACGCGCTTTGCTGTATTTTACTTAATACCCTCTGAAGTGGTGGGAGCAAGCTGGGTGCTTCTTCCTTCTGCTCCCATGCTGGGACATACGTTGGCTGTGAGGAACCCTGGGGCAGGGGAGTGGGACAGCCCCTGTGTGGGGCTGGTGGTGTGGGGCAGCTCCTCTAGTGCCCCCAGGAGGGAAGACTGCCTCCTGCAAAGGCGGCGCCAGCACCATTGCACACTGGATGGAGGGTTTGTAAATAATGGCATGGGGTGTGTGGTGCCTCTTGGGAACTTTGGCCCTGGAAGAGGGATGGCACCAGGGCAGAGAGCTGCCATGGGGGAGAGTGTTATGGAGGCGGCACAGCAGTGCGTGCTGTATGCGTGGAGCTTGGAGGGGGTCTCTGCCTCTTTGCCTGCCGCTGCACAAAGGGTGTCATGATCCAGGGAGAAGAGAACCGCCTCTGCTTTGCAAAGGGCTCTTGGGTGACCTTGTTCCCCTGCCCATCTTTGCCCCAACTTTCCTTCCCTAAACAGCAGGAGGTGAGTGCCTTTTCTCCTTTTCCTTGGTGAAGCATTAGGTGAGCTTAGGGGTTTGGTTTGGTTTGGTTTGTTTTTTTGTCCTTTTTACGGATTGCAGTCTTCAATCACTTCTCTGCCTGACAGCAGCTCTGTGCACCCTGCCTGGGCTGGAGGAGGGGAGGTGGTGTAGGGAGAGGATGAAGGCAATATTTCATGTTGTTTGGAAAGAAGGGCTCTGCACCACTGACTCCTTGCTGGCCTGACATGGATCTGTCATGGTGGCACAGTATTACCAGTGGAGACAGCTAGATGTTTATTTTGGTCACCTTGATCCAGATAAACCTCAGAATCTGGTCCACAGAAAATGAAAAACAAGGGGCAACATTTGGAGATACAGTGAACTTGAGAAGGACAAGAGTAAAAGTGACACAATCTTTTTTTCTTTTTTTTTTTTTTTTTTTTTTTTTTTTTTTTTTTTTTCCCCCTGCTCCCCCACGTGAACTTGGGTAACATTTCCTAGGAACAAGAGTGGTTTTTAGGGCGTGTGTTGAGCAAACACTGAAAAGATCTGGGGAGCGTAGGTGTGTTCCTGGCTCTGCCAGCCTGGCTAATGATCTCAGTCCTTTAAAACTGCCTCTTTTACGCTGGTCACGTTTCAACCATGTACCCCTACTCCGTCTTGTCCCTCTTGCTCTCTCTTCATTTTCGCCCAACCCTCTGGTGATGCAGGGGCTGTGGAAGCTTATGTTCATTTTGTTTCCATCAGTGAATAGGGAGAAATCTGCCAAATGCGGTGAGTTCCTGGTACTGTGGATTTACCATCTTTCTACCCTGTTGTCTGTACCTTTCTTGTCTGTGAGTTTGTAAGACTGTGACTGATCTAGAAGAGGTTCAGCTTAGTGTAGCCCAGCCGAGGCAAAAGACCCACTGAAGATGGCAGGGGATGGGGGGAGTAGTTCTTTGATTCAGGTCTCAAAAGATGCATGCTGAATTTGAGCCAGCTTTCTGCCACCCCCAACCTGTCTTTCTACCAGTGGTAAACTTTTTGCACTTCAGTAACTATTGAATGTGACTTTCCTTTTCATGGCTTTTCCACAGGATGAAGATGAGACGCCATAAGCTCTTTCTGACTCTCTGCATGGCTGGTCTCTGCCTCATCTCCTTCTTGCACTTCCTCAAGGCCCTTTCCTATGTCACCTTCCCCCGGGAGCTGGCTTCACTTAGTCCCAACCTTGTCTCCAGCTTCTTCTGGAACAATGCCCCCGTCACACCTCAGGTCAGCCCTGAGCCAGGGGGTGCAGAGTTTCTCCGCACACCCCTGTACTCCCACTCCCCCTTGCTCCAGCCCCTGCCTCCCAGCAGAGCCAGCGAAGAGCTGCACAAAGTTGAGTTCGTGCTGCCGGAAGACACAACAGAATATTTTGTCCGTACCAGAGCCGGCGGTGTTTGCTTTAAACCAGGCACCAAGGTGTTGGAGAAACCACCCGTGGGAGGGCGGGCAGAGGAGCGAACAGATGGTGCAGCTTCGGGACGGCCAGCTCGCAAGCCGCTGAGTGCCAGTGGGACTAAGCGGCGCAAGTGGGTGGAGTGCGTGTGCTTGCCAGGCTGGCACGGCCCCAGCTGTGGGGTCCCCACTGTGGTCCAGTACTCCAACCTGCCCACTAAGGACCGCCTTGTGCCACGGGAGATTCCCCGGCGGGTCATCAACGCTATCAATGTCAACCATGAGTTTGACCTGCTGGATGTCCGCTTCCACGAGCTGGGAGACGTGGTGGATGCGTTCGTGGTGTGTGAGTCGAACTTCACAGCCTATGGAGAGCCGCGGCCCCTCAAGTTCCGCGAGATGCTCCTCAATGGCTCCTTCGACTACATCCGTCACAAGGTGCTCTACGTCTTTCTGGACCACTTCCCCCCTGGTGGCCGCCAGGATGGTTGGATTGCTGATGATTACCTGCGCACCTTTCTCACCCGGGATGGCATCTCTCGCCTCCGCAACCTTCGCCCAGACGATGTCTTCATCATCGATGATGCTGATGAGATCCCAGCCCGTGATGGCGTGCTCTTCCTCAAGCTCTACAATGGCTGGACAGAACCCTTCGCCTTTCACATGCGCAAGTCGCTCTACGGCTTCTTCTGGAAGCAACCAGGCACCTTGGAGGTGGTCTCAGGCTGCACCATGGGGATGCTCCAGGCTGTCTATGCTACTGACGGGATCCGTCTGCGGCGCCGTGAGTACTACACCATGCCTGGGTTTCGGCAGTACGAGAACAGCACAGGACACATCCTGGTGCAGTGGTCGCTGGGCAGCCCCCTTCACTTTGCTGGCTGGCACTGCTCCTGGTGTTTCACCCCAGAGGGGATCTACTTCAAACTGGTGTCAGCCCAGAACGGGGACTTCCCACGCTGGGGTGACTATGAGGATAAACGAGACCTCAATTATATCCGTGAGCTGATCCGGACTGGTGGCTGGTTCGATGGTACTACACAGGAGTATCCCCCTGCTGACCCCAAGGAGCAGATGTATGCTCCCAAGTACTTGCTCAAGAACTACCAGAGGTTCCGCTACTTGTTGGAGAACCCCTACCGAAAAGCGGAGGGTGCTGGGTGAGGCCACCAGGGTTTGCATGGGAAATCAGAACTTCACAACAAGGGAAAGAGTTGGGTGTTTTCTTCTGTTCCTTTTTTTGGTTTTGTTGGTTCTGGGTGGAGCGTGCCATTTCTCTGGGATCTCTGTTCTGTCTCCCTTCCTTCTCTTCTTCCCTTCATCCCAGGATGACCCTGGGGACATGAATTCCTCAGTCGTGTGATGGGCAGGAGGAGGAGAGATATTTGGGACCTACTCTGGCAGTAGCATAAAGACTTTCCTGCATCTCCCGGACATCTCCTGCTGGCTGGACAGAATGTCTGCAGCTAGCTGGCGGATTTTCCTCTGGGAGAGGTTGGGAGGGTCCCATGGGGAGAGGGGGCAGCTGTTCTTGTATACCCTTGTCCTTTGTGGATTGGAGCAAGCACAGATGCGAGCCTGGGCTATTCAGTGAGCATGTGAGTCGGCAGGCACAAACCGGTGCGAGTGGTCATGTGTGTCATAAGCATTTTTGAGATGAGTGAATGTGCAAAAGCAGCTAAGTATGCGTTTATTTTTTTGCATACCTCTATATTCAAAGAGTATTTTGGGGAAGGAAAATCCTTTGCTTCCAAGGTGTTCTCCCCAAAATGCTGCTTTCTCCTGCAGGCTTAATGCATCTGTTCTTTTCTTGATACTCTCCAGGATATAGTCCTGGAGCAGGCAGATGGGAAGCAGAGGAGAAAGCTGATTTAAAAAAAATAATTTTTTTTAAACTCCTTTGTCACCCCTACCCCCACAACACTGCACTGGCTTGGCCCACAGAAGCTGAAGCATCTTCCCCGCAGTATGTGCTTCTACTGGGGCTGGGATAAGCTGCAGGGGACTTAATCAGAAAGTGGGAGTGTATGTTTACAAGTGCATGGTTTCCTATGTGCATGAGTGCTAACATGCATGGTTTTGGTATGCACGTGGGCGTTTGTTACCAGAATTGGGGGGGGAAGGGGAATAGTTGGGTTTGGGTGTGTGCTTTCAGGAAATGGTGGGATCCAGAAGCTGTGATCTCTGTCTTGACATGGATGACTTTTTGGGGAATTCATAGGAGAAGGCCAGGGAGAGCACTGGTTCTGCATAGTAGTGCCACACTGTGGGATTGTTGGGTGCCTCTCTGGCTGCATCTGTAACCCTGCAGGCTGTGTCTGTTGCAGGGTTGCTGCTTACATGTGTTGGCTATTCCTTCTTGCCACAGGGTAAAAGGAGAGAAGGGCAAAGCTCTGAGTCAGCAGTGGGTGTTGTGGGGAAACACAAAGCCTGTCAAGGCACAGGATCCATCTGATTGCTCTTAGAGTGTGAGGGAGCTTGTGGAGAAATGGGCCATGGGCAGATTCCCCCTGGGGTCAAGAGACTATTTTGGGACAATCATGCAATCCAGAGAGCATGTGCAGCCCACACATGCAGCCTGGGCCATGCAGATAAGACCATGAAGAGGAGAAGGGATCTAGGAGGACTCTAGTTGCAGCTGATTGGGCCAGTGTCCGCTCAGAGTTTGCCAGTGATGGGTAGTCAGGATCTAGCCTGCTGTTGTACTGAATTGGTTTGGCCCACTGAGGCAGCTCCATGTCTCCACCCTTACCACCCTTCCTTAGCATATGGCTTAACAGGGTGCCTGGAGACTGGGCTGTAGCAGGCAAAGAGTGAAAAACATGAGGAACTTGCTCTGTTAGCCCTGCAGTGGAAAGACTGGATCATGTTCCAAGTGAGCATCATATAGAGGAAGAGGAGAAAAATGTCATAAGGAAGAATGACCCTGACATCAGGCCAGCTGTGTGAAGCAGGAGGGTTTCCACTGCCATTAACTCACCCCATCGGGGCTCCAGACTCCTCTGTTGCCCAGCCCACTCCCACCCTTGTGCCTCATTCCTATCTCTGTATCTTTCTCTTTTTTCCCTCCTATTCCCCTCTCTAGAGAAGTGAAAAACATCAACAAAAATAACTTGATTGCCTAATAAGACTGAGACTGGAACAGAATGAAGATTAATTTATTTTTCTGATCAAACTGAGATAGAGTTTATTTTAGCTCCTTCCACATCTCATATGCCATAATGCCTGCTTAGAAGAACTGAAGGACCCTTTTTTTTTGTTATTGTTTGCTTTTTAAATCACTGTTCTCATTTCTGTGTCTTCCCCATGGATAGAAAAGCCCCTTTGGGAAATAATTAGAGGGAGAAGCTTTGGTAGGCAGAATGTTCTTCCCACAAAGGGAAGCTGTGGCGCTAAGTCCAGACTTCTTGATGCAACAGAAGGAACGCTTGTCACAGTAATGGAGTCCTTGTGCCAAGCAACTGCACAAAGGTCTTGAGTATAGAGAGATTATAGAGAAATGGGGACCCAGCTGAGAAAGGAGGAGCCTGTGTTGAGCAAGATGAGAGAAGTAACACTGAGGCTGCACCACAAGGGAACAATGGTTTCCCCAGGGGCAGCTGGAGGAGAGTGGGTGTGTTACCTCATGTGATTCAGTAGCAGAAAAGTATGGAAGGAAGAAGCTATTTCTCATTTTTACCCTCAGAAGGGAGCCTGATATTTGCTCTCAGACCTTTGACTTTACCTTATCTCAGTGACAACACAAGCCCAGTGCCAGACCTTGCTGAAGACAGGAGAGAAAAAGAAATCAGTCTTTTCATGGGTGCTTTGGCAGCACCAGAGCCCCACGAAGCTGGGGCTAAAGTGCATGCATGCTGGGGCTGCACCTCATTATCATCTAAGTGGGAGCAGCCTCTCCTGTGATACCAGCCCTTCCCATGCACGGGTGTACTTGGGGATTTTTAGTGTACCGCAAGTCACACTTGCCTTGCCTGAGGTCTGGCCCTTGTCTCTTGGGAGTTTCAGATGAGCCCACAGCTGCAATACCTGGTTCTCCTATTCGTGAAATACAGCCTGTTGCCTTTTCTTCACTCTCCTCCATTATTTGTTCCATCATTCTGCACCTCTCCCTCTGAATTTCCTCTCCCTTCTACCCTCTTGGGCAGGAGGAGAAGGTCCTGCTGGAATAGGGGCACTGGAGCTCTTCTGGAGGACTCTGGCCCTGTCTTCATCCTGGACTTATTGACTTCCTTATTCTTAGGAAATTAAATTTATAACAGACTCAGACTTCTGTTGTGGTGGGAGGAAGGGGCTTTACAGATACAATGCATTCTGTTTTGTTTCTCTTTTTTAAGAATCGTTTAGACATTTTTTGATTTAAGGCCAAACCAGTCAGTGTTTCTGTCTAATTTGTCTGGCTAACCCTGTGTTTATTATCCTTAGAGAGCTTGTCATTAAAAATCTTCCTTCTCGTCCCTGGAGGGGGTGGGGACTAGCAAGATGAGTTTTGCACAGTGATTTCCCAAGGAGGTGGCGTGCCCTCGTTCCAGCCTTGCCTGTACTGCTATGCCCGGACCTCCGTGGCCAGCACACGGGGGGCACCCTTCCAGACATCTTCCACAAGAGGGAACCCAAAAGCATGTGGGTGTGTGGGGTGGTGAGAGAGGCAAAGGAGGAGGCAGTTTTTATCAGATTCTCATTTCCCAGTGCTGAACTCTGAGGTGAGTGTTCAGGCTCCTTGATCGTTTCTGAACCAGGTCGTGAGGTGTGAGAAGAGAAGGACTAAAAAACACCACCCTGCCCCTGGGCTGGAACTGGGATCAGACTACCAGAGCTTGATGTCTGTTTGTTGTTGCAGCCATGAGTAGTGAAGACATATGCCCGCTGCCTCTCTGGGAGTGAAGCGCTCTGGTGAAGGGAGGGAAAGGATTGCCAGCCTTTCCCTCAACCCTCTTTCAGCTCTGTCCTTTTTCTTCTCCAGAACCTTTCCACCTTCAGATTAATTGGTGCAAAGGAGGGCCAGATAGTAGGTGAAGCAATGTGTGGCATCCCAAGCCTTGCTCTTCTCTTTCTGTCTGCCCATCTCTGTTCTTGCCTTTCCTTGTGCTTCCCACCTAAAAAAGGGATTGTGTGCCCATGCATGGCTTTGGACTGGGGAACTAATCTTCCTCCTTTGCAATAAGTGAAAGGAAGGACATGGGCTTTGGTGGACCTGCAGCCAGTGAACTTGCTAAAGCAGAGGGAACAGGGCAGGTCAGCCGTCTTTGCCCTTCGGGATGACTTCAGGTAATGCTGTACCCAAGTGATGGACAGAAAAGATGGGGTGGTTTTGTGCCTGTGTGGTTGGTATGAAGGACGACATGCTCAAGTCCACTCTCACTGTTGCTTTCTCTGACTCCTGTGTCCTGCTGAAGTGTTTGCTGTCATGCAGCTCAGGCCAGCCTGCTCTTCATGTCTCTGTGGCAGGTAAATGAGGGGAACTTGTGACCTCCAGGTAACATATGAGTCAGGATGGAGGGAGAGTCTCAGAGCAGAATGAGTATTTGGTTCCCTTCTGCCCTCCTTGGTGTATCCTTGTGGGATGGTAGTGTCTTTTTCATCCCCATGGCTCTGTTCCTGTCTCCCAGCTCCTGCCAGCAATCTCTGTGGCTGCTATGCCTCTGCACTGTGAAGAAATGCGTTCGGGGTCACTCCTGGTCCCATTAGTGAACACTGGTGGTGAAGGGGGAAGGGATGGCTCATCCTGGCTTCACTGACCTCAGACCTTGGTGAGAAAGGAGGGAAGTGAGTGGAAGAACGGATCCTGAATACTTCCATCATTGTGTTCTCCCCACCCCCCCTAAGAAAACTCCCTTCTGATTTCTGAGACATTTCTGGACAACTTGCTCTTATTATGGAAAGAGTGAGGGAGCTGGAGGTAGGGGGGTGGCAGGAGGGGCTCGGATCCAGCACCAAGAAAGGAGAGGTGTTTCTAATGCAATACACTGACACTTAAAGGTTTGGGGACTATATATAATGGATTAAGAAGGGATCTGGAATACTCTGAGACTAAGAATTCAAACCACTTTTTTTTTTTCCTTCCTGTGTGGATGATGATGCAGTATCATCCTGGAGGTAGTCCAGCAGCACTACCGAGTCTGGGGTCCACCTTGACCTACTGGTGGTGTTGCCACTGAGGTGGCCCCAGAACACCCTGCTTTGGCAAAAGAATGTGTGGACTTGCCTAAAATAAAAAAGGAGAAAATAAGAGCGTCTGCAAAGCTCCTTTCAACTCTGTAATTTATAAACAGCAAGTAATAATGAACTTTTTGTAAGGATAAATCGAGTGTACATTCTGAAATCATTTTCTCTGTAAATGGTTGGATTTCATTTCACCCTTAAAGGGATGCTTAAAAGGAGGAGATAATAATAAAAATTTAAAAATTTACAAAGTATGAAAGGAAACCAAGGGGCGTGTGTGGCAGCTTTTATTTCTGATCGCTTGGCAGAGGGGCCGCTGGACAACGGAGTGAGGGAGGTTGCTTCCCACCTTGACAGGACCATGTTCCCAAGAAGGGAGATTGAGGGGGAGCCTGACTGGATTGGGGAATGATTCCTGATTTTTGTAGGCCTGGGTCAGACCTAATCTTCTGCATGTTAGGTGAGTATGAGCATGTAAAGGCACATGAGCGGGCAATGATGGCTACCAGGCGGCTCTGGGAAAAGCTGGTGGATGTGGGAACCACCATCACCACTCATGAAATGGTCCCTTGTTGCCATCTTTCCCTCCTTAGATACATCCACTTTTTCAAGTCAAGCTGTAGAAAACCTGGAGCCCCAAATTAAATCTTCCCACTGCAGAATTGTGTCTCTGGTGGCTGACTTTTGGCATGGTGCATGAGAGAACATGACCTCCTTGTTCTGGCTTATTTTTAAACCTGTCTAATATAATTTTGGCTGTTCCCATTGCTTGGTATCAAAGCCTGGTCCTGCTCTGAATCCTCCTAAGCATCTGGCCTCAGCAGTGTCTTTGGCAAGGGTCTTTTGCAAGCTCATGTGCCATCTACAGCTATTTAACTTTTTTACCCTTTTAAGTGTCTTGCACTTCAGGTTCATTTTTGGTCCCATTTGGAGTAGTGAATGTAAGCATCATAGGTTTGTTTCATTATAATCATTAGATCAGCACATTCCCTCTTTGTCTTTCACATCAGACTTTTCAGTTCTCTTGTGGAAGGGTCTCCATTGCATTGTGCATTGCTTAATGCCTTTCTGCTGCTTCTGTCTCTGGAACAGAGGGCCCGGAATAAATATACCACTGAAAATTAACTATTAGCATTTTTTATTAACAATTTTTAGCATTCTTAGTGATAGCTGTATTTTTGTGCCTGAATAGGAGACAACCTAAAACATAGATGATCACCTGAATGCCTGAACTTTCAATTTTTCAAGAGGGGAAGGTAAGTATATAAGCTTAGGCCAATGGCAGTTTCGCAAGACACCTTAAGAAATGAGAGTTGACTAGGTCAGAGGTTCTTCCATGTTATTTTTCTTGCCTCCAACATGAAATCTTTTACTGACATTTATATTGCTTTAAGAAGTAATGTAAATGGCATTTCTGCAGTTTCTTGTGAGGTTTTAAAAGAAAGCACTGACAGAACCCAGGGCCTTTTTCCCAGGAAAGCACAGGCTTCTGCTGCAGGATCTCAAAGTGCCTCTGTGAGCGAGGGGTTGACTCTTCCACAAGCCAGTCTGCAGTGGAGATCCTCATTTGCAGGAGCAGTGCTGACAGTCAGCCCAGCACAAGGGGCATGTGGCTCTACCGTGAGCCTTGTACACCATCTCTCAGAGGGTCCCTCAAGACATCACAAGGGATCTTGGTACATGCAGTATGCATCCTGGATATGGGTATGGAGCCTTCAGTGCCACATTGAACAAGGAGCACGCAAGCCACCTAACACCAAGTAAATTCTGTGTGTTCTGCAGCATTTTAGTACCCCAACAGGTGTTATATGGGAAGATGCACCATGGAGGGGCTCTGGCATAACCTGCCTGGAAATAAACTGTTTCTTCCAAGTTCTCACTGTATGTCAGGGATGTCCAGTACTGATCATGGGCGCCATGCAACACTGTTTGGTGGGAACTGAGGCTTGTGGCAGATGCTCAGCCTCTGGATTGCGGTGGGGGCTGGCTCCGGATAAACTGATTGATGCCTGCAGCAGGTTTGCTGATGGACATGATGTTTCCAAATACCAGGGTGCTTTGAAACAAAGTAACTTCAATATAAACTTCAGAAAGCTGCAGTGGATGTACCAAGAGCCTGTCTTGCTGGCTGTTTGTTTTTGTTGCTCAGGTATGTTTGTTCCCTGTGTAAGTGCACAGCTTAATATGCTGTTTATCAGGGACAGTTAATTTTTAATTAGTCCAATTTGATTTTTTTTTTTTCTAAATCTCAATGTTTTAGTGGCTCAGCTGGGGAAGCAGTGAGATTTCAGCGGGCCGGCAGGCAGCCCACGGAGCAGCCAAGGAGAGAGTTGCTCCAGCCCTGGAGAACGTTGGCTTCATGCTCACATGCCCCCAGCTACAGGTGCCGGCTGCCCTGCTTTCCAGAGAGCACTGCCACAGAGAGAATTTGGCCACAGCCATGACAGAAAGGAGGCATATTCCTGCTCCTGACAGTGGCATGTGTTTCTGTGGTTCACAGGCACGCTTATACACCAGCTATGTCAAACCTTCACCTGGGATCAAGCTTTGCAGGGCTTTGCTCTGTTGCTGCAAAACAGCCTCAGAGAAGCCGTGCAAAACTGTCCCATCCGGAGAAAGGTCACTGAAGTGAGAGGCTGACATAAGGGATATAACCCATGGATGCTTGGGAGAGGAGCCTGGCTTTTAGCCAGGCTGCTGCAAGCTTTGCCTTTGTCCGCGCTTCAGCAAAAGGGTAAAGGACAAGCTCACTTCAGCTAATGTTTAGGACGTTACTGTAAGCATCTCTGAGAACCCCAAACACAAACCCTGACTTGGAACTAAGGAAAATTTGTCAGTCCTGTTATTTCCAGCATTTCTGGGTATGCTTTTTTTTTTTTTTTTTTTTAAGCAAAGTGAGAAAATATTCCTTACCATCTTTTGAAATATTGCTATGTAAGAATACAAATCTTTCAAGGCCATATCTCTTCTTACCCAGCCAAATGAAATACAAAATAAAACTCCATTGTTTTCCTCTTATGTTTCCTGTGCCTTATGGCCTGAGCCATGGATTCTCTTGGCTGAAGTCCATCCCAGTAACAATTTAATTTGGGAACACTTCACCCTTCTAAAAATAAGGAAAACTGAGAAGAGCAACTAACCTGTGTTGAATAAAGATCTAAAATGACTTCTCCAGGATCTCAAATTAAAGAAAATGTTACCCAGAGAATGTATAAAATTAAATATTATAAGCTTGCCTCTATGCAGCAAACTCTTTCCTGGCATTTTAGCCCTATCTGGACCTTTTCCAAAGGGAGAGAACAAATCATCAGTCATATCTTTTTTTTTCTTCTCAGACACTTACTAAGAACCAGGCACACATGCAAAAATAAAAGAATGTAGAAAACATCTACCCACTTCTGTTTGGTTCCCAGTGTTTTTAAAGCATTTGACTCAAACTGTTACCCAGAAGTGAATGTCAAACTACTGCAAAACCAAAACCAGACATATTTCCCCAAATGGGACAGAAATAAATCTAAGGACCTGTGACTTAATGTTACAAGATGTGCAATGAGTGCCTTCACCTAGAAGAAGAAGAGAAGCAGCAGGATATAGCAGCTCTGCCCTTCTCAGGTTGTGTGTACATATACATGGGGCCAAACCCCACATGATGTTGTGAGTCCAGATGTCCTTTACACAGACCAAAATCCCATGTTCATGCTGGGAGGACCTCACTGCAACATGCAGTAGGTAGAGGAGTACAAAAAGCCTGGGGCCAATGAGTGCAACCCTGCTCAGAGGGGGCTGGTGTCACCAGCTGCAAGCTCTCAGCTCTCTGCAGACTCTTCTACTGCAGAAAGCCCACGGGGCTGTTAGAGTGATGCAAAATTGCAAGGATAGCAGCCCTCACAAAAGCAGGGTCTCTGAATGGCTCTGGAAACCTTCTGTAGTATGCAGTTGGTGCAAAGTGAAAAATGGGGGGGGGGAAATCTTACTAGCCAGGGAATTAAAAAAAATGTCCCCAACAAATTCAACCACAGGGAAATTTGGCTGAAGAAACACAGAATGAAGATGTGCACAGACCAATTGCAAAAATACCACAGCAGCATTTTCAATTTGTTAGGTAATAAAACTGAGCTTCCTCAGTGACCGTTGGTGCAGACCCTCACAGCGGCAGCAGCTCTGCATCTCACAAGAGACCGCTTGCCACTACCAGTGTTTGCAGCTCCCTGGGCTGCAGGGATGGGGAGCTGAAAAGTCCCACTTCAGCAGCGGCAGGGCTGGGAACCTTTCCTGTCTTGCCCCCTGGCAAAAACATACCCTGAGTGTGGCTCCCTGGAGTGGGTAGTTACTCTCTTACTAAAATCTGGAATCAGCAGTGCCCTTTGAAAGGCAGCTGAGTACCTGCGGTCTCTCCTCCCTCAGCACCTGTGTTCCTTCCCATGTGTGCTTAACATCAAAGCTACTGAGGGTTCAGGGAAAGAAGCCACCTGCGCCACCCTTGGCCCTCTGCCCCTCCTGGCTTATTGCAGTCAGAGAGCAGGAGCCCAAATGGCATTATTCCTTGTGATTGCTCAAGAAAAATAAAGAAACAGGGCTGCAATGAAAGAGAAAGCTGTTGAATGGAGTTAGACTGCCAAAACACCTCTTGCAAGATCCATTTACTAGAAGACATTAAGGATATTAAGCCCAAGCTCAGATGGCATTGTTGGCTCACTACCCATCTTCCCTCTTGTGTTCTGGTATTGTTTTCTGGCTCCTGTGAGAGGCCAGCCTTCTGTTACCAAGTGCAGGGTTTTTTCCTGCAGAGCCCCTCCAAGGTGCCACTTGCAACTCTGTGTGTCACTCCTTGCTGCCCAGGGAAGTTTTGTTGGCTGGTGGTGGGCAGTACAGGGATGTTTGCCTGGCTGGGAATGGTCCTGCCCTTTCAAAATGGGTAATGGGAAGCCCTGGGGTCGGTGCTTGACTCCCAGGAGCAGTGTCTGCAGGCCAGGCTCAGAGGCAGCAGTTTGCTGCTTTTAGTGGACATCAGAGGCTGCAGCAGTGGCCGCCTGAGCAGGAGGACGGGCTGCAAGCATGAGAAGACTGGCAGAGGAGTGGCAGCTCCAAAGACTCCCAGGGCGGTGGGGGACGGGGGATGTCTGTGCCTTATCCTGGATAACAACATGGGTTATTGTGCCCCATCACCCATGTTGCCTTTGATATTTCACAAGCTCACTTAGTCATTTGGGAAAACAAAGGCTGTTATTGTTCTCCAGGCACACAGCTAAGGTTTTCTCTCCTCTCTGCCTGCACCTCACCCCATTGGAGCAAGTAAATTCCCTTTCTTGCAGGGATGTAAGTCTGGAGTCACGGAGGCCACCCCATTCACAGCGGGTCCATGGGCAAAGAAGCCACAAGGCAACAGGGCTCTGCAGGCAGTCCCATCAGAGCAGCACAAGTCTTTCGGGGTGCGGGGTGGGTCCCCACTGGTGTGGCCGCATGCAGTGGGTCATTAGAGGACCCAGCCAGGTTGGGAAACACTGGAGAGAGGATGTTGTGTCACTGTCTCAAGGCAGAGTTCAAGTTTACAGACCCCGGCAGGTTACCAGAGGTCCGGGACTCACACAGCAGCTGGGATGGCGTGGGTCACGTGTTGCTCTGCCACTGCGCTTGCAGTGTCTTTGCAAGACAGAAGAGGCAGGCTGAATGAATGAATACCCCTGCCTGCATGGTGTGGGCGTGGGGAGCAGGCAGTGGACACAGCAAGTGTTCTCACTGGAGGGGCTGGCGCAGTTAGGAGGCACGCTGGCCAGAGGAGTTCACAACACGCACATGCAGCTGCTGGTGAGGGGCCCGTGAGCTGGCGTCCAGCCCGAGAGGGAAAAAAACAGAAAGAAACACTAAAACAGGCACAACCCAAGGGGGCCAGGCTGGGGAGGGGGTCTTTATGGAGTCCTGCAGTCCTTGGGTGCCATGGCGGGAGGGCAGCAGGGTCGTTGTGCAGCCCGATCAGGCAGATCCCATTCATAGCACATCAGGGGTTTGCTGCATGTAGCTGCACATGTTTTGATCCAGACTTGAGCGTTTCAGGGACTGGGCTCATCAGCGCACCTGTCCAGTGGCAACAGAGCCCTGTTGTGAGAAGTGAAGTATTTCTGTGGATCAGAATGCAAGGAGAAGGCAAGAAGCCGTGAGGAAGGTTCAAAGATCGATTTTCATTCTGGCAGAAGGTTAAGGGTAGGGAATACAAATGCTGCCTCTGGAAACAAAGATGAGCACTATACCAAACATTTTTAAGAGATGACTCAAAGCTATTGACTCTTGAGGAGATCAGAAAGGACTGTAAGTAAAATGCAAATGTGGCAAATGGGCAACGCCATTTATTTGCCAAGGTTTAACTGAGCATGTGCAAAGATAGAAAAGAATAAAACAAATTGCATGTAAGAATTGCAAAGCTCCAGACGGTCTCTAGCAACTCAAGAAAGGATCTGGATGTCACACAAACTCTGGCTCTGTGAGTAGCTGCAGGTTAAAAAAAAAAGCACACACAAAATACCAGTATGCAGAAGGAAGAAGGGTAGAATAATATGGAAAATATGATAATACTATTATGTAAATCACTAGCATGGCCTCTCTGGGAATACTGTTTTCGGTTCAAGTCAGCCTTTCTCAGAAAGGGCTGATTAGGGGCATGTCAAACTCGCTCATAAAGAAAGATTGAAATGATTGAGGTTGTTTTTTCTCGGAAGGGAAATGAACAAGAGGAGATTGGCATGGAGAGAGCTGGTCCAGAGCTTCTGGTTTTCTTCCTGTTGAATTCTAACGCTCTCATATCTGGTGTCACTGAGAAGTGCATGAAGTGATGTGGCTCTCCTCTGTCACACACAGTTTGCTCTTTTTCTCACTCTCTCCCCCAGGGGAGGCACAGCATATGCAGTTATGTTTTACATTTTGGTAGGATCTGGGGAGGAGGAGATGGCTAAGGAGGAATAATTACTCCCCAAAGTAGGCATATAGTAGAGAAGGTGAGAATGGGAAAGGGGGATTTGCACCTGGACAGAGGGGTGGAAGGTCCTGATTTTGCGAGGCTCCTTCCATCTCCTCAGGCAGACTCCAGAGAGGCTGGCAGCTACTGCCCTTCTCCCAGAGCACTTGGGACTTCCAGACCAGGCTCTAGGATTTCTTGGAAATAAAGATAAGGCACTTGAATTTGACAAGTTATTCCGTAAAAAGCATCAGGGTAGTCAGAGTTACCTTCAGACACACAGCATTAAGCCACTGCTCTCAGTATACTCTGAGAAAACCTTCTCTACCCCCATATTACCCTAGGCAGCCAGCACATACAGCCAGAGACAAGTGTGACAGCCTGTGCTGTGGATGTTGACTCGATGCAGTGTGCTGAACTCTCCCTTTCTCATACAAAGACATTTAATGGCATTTAGGCCTGTCAAAGCCAGAATGACTAAAGGATATACCTATAAGTGCTCCAGCTGTTCTGGGCTGCAGGAAGCATGCCTACAGGCACATGAAGCTGCTGAGGCCTACAACCCTGCCTGTTTCACCACAGCACATGAAGCCCAGGCTGCTAATGAGGCTGTCAATGGTGGAACAAGCCTGGTGTTCCTAGGCGGATTCAGCATGGGTGCCCACCCTGGCCTCGAGGGCAGCTGCAGGTCTAAGGGGGAAGAGGAGGCTCCTGTCTCTGCCACAGTGACAGCTCAAGCCAAGGTGGGAAGCAGCTGCTCCACTCTGGGCTGTCCAGACCCAGCCCGGGTCCCTTCAGGCCACACCATGGGGGTCCCACTTGTCCCCTGCTCCCCTCAGCCCTTTTCCATGGCCTTTCAGGGTGTCCCCGGCCCCCACCCTCCCCAGCCTCTTCCCCGCAGACATCCCCGCTGAGGAAGCTGTCAGCCCGTGAAGGGCCCGGCCTCCTCAAACCAGAGCAGCACCTGGCCCAGCCCGCCCCGTCCCAGCCCCAGCTGGGCGCAACGGGGGGCGACAGTGCCCCTCCCCGCCGGCAGGG